GGTGTATCATTGATACGCGCATGATACGCTCCTGTACATTGATACGCGCATGATACGCTGATGTATCATTGATACACGCATGATACGCTCCTGTACATTGATATGCGCATGATACGCTGATGTATCATTGATACGCGCATGATACGCTGGTGTATCATTGATACGCGCATGATACGCTCCTGTACATTGATACGCGCATGATACGCTGATGTATCATTGATACGCGCATGATACGCTCCTGTACATTGATACGCGCATGATACGCTGGTGTATCATTGATACGCGCATGATACGCTTGGGCACAATAGGTGAATACATCCCTAACAAAATTTAGAGTCGCCCCAGCTTCTGGTAATCCACATCAGAAGCTGACGCGTCTGTAAATTTTCACTCTTACAATAGACACACACATCTCACTCTTACAATAGATACTGACGTTATAAAAAAACTTGGTATGGTATGGTTACAGAATTTTGGTTATTGAATATTATTTATTGTGTTGTGAGTGAAATTTATTATTTTATCATGAATTTCACCATGCTTAACTTAGTGTGGGTCATGATATTCTACACGTATTGTGTAATGAACATCATTATCAACTCTACGAAATATTTTTACGCAGCAAGATAGCAGGCCGAAGAACATGAGTGTTCTACCATCATAAAACATGGCCTTTAAAGTGTGTCACGATATTTCTGGTTACTACACACTTATGAAATATTCATGGGATACGAGCCCATGACTTATTATGGTCCAGATATTCATGGGCGTGGTATTGGTGCAGTATGAGCGCGGCATGATCAGTATGGCGTAGTTTGGGCGCGGCATGGACGCAGTATAGGCGCAGTATGGGCGTAGTATAGGCGCGGTATGGGCGCGATATGGGTGTGGTATTTGAGTGGTTTAGGCGTGGTATAGGCGCATTATAGGCGTGATATGGGCGTAGTATGGGTGCGGTATGGGCATATAACAGGACCCACCATCAGCAATGTCAGGCTGCAGGGGGCTGAGGAACGAGGCGCGGGAGGTGACGGAGGTGAGGCTGGAGTTGCTGCTCCTCAGCTCGCTGATGCTGTCCTGTGTGCAGATATCGTCTCAATACAGTAAATAAATTAAATAATCACCGCGAAAATGATTTAAATAATATAGCATAATCGCTTCAATAGTTTCCATAGCTAGAGGTGATAACAAATATTTATTTAAAGTTCGTAATTTCCAATCCTCGTAAGTTTCAGGCTGCAACGAGTGTTAAAGGGAGTCACCACAAACATGTTATGGGCGTTAGTGGATAACCTGGAGAATGTTGGGGGATAACCTGGAGGTGTTGGGAGGCTCACCTGAAGGGTGTTGGTGGGGGTATCAGCGCCGGTAGTGACACGGGTGGACGCCATGGCGCTGCTGGAGTCGAGCGACTGGTTGTCTAGGGACGGCAGCTGGTCCACGTCCCTGAGGGATGACAGGCGCCCTTTACCCTGACCGGAGGGCGCGCTGGTGTCCTCCTCGCTCGTGTAAATCTTCAGTGTGGAGCCGTCGCCGAACTGCGAGTTTTTGGCTGTTCTCAAGAAACATTAATAAGACGTGGAGGGAACTCTCGAGAAACGTTGATAAGAAATGGAGTGAACTCTCGAGAAACACTGATAAGAAGTAGAGTGAACTCTCTAAAAACGTTGATAAGAAATGGAGTGAAATCTCGAGAAACGTTGATAAGAAGTGGAGGGAACTCTCGAGGAACGTTGATAAGAAATGGAGGGAACTCTCGAGAAACGTTGATAAGAAGTGGAGGGAACTCTCGAGAAACGTTGATAAGAAATGGAGGGAACTCTCGAGAAACGTTGATAAGAAGTGGAGGGAACTCTCGAGAAATGTTGATAAGAAGTGGAGGGAACTCTCGAGAAACGTTGATAAGAAGTGGAGGGAACTCTCGAGAAACGTTGATAAGAAATGGAGTGAACTCTCGAGAAACACTGATAAGAAGTGGAGTGAACTCTCGAGAAACGTTGATAAGAAATGGAGTGAACTCTCGANAGGGCGAGTAGGGAAGCGATGGTCTTAACAACAGGGCTGACTGGGCTGTGGTAGACCAGCACGCTGCGCTCCAGCAGCACCAGCTTGAACAGCACCAGCAGGTTGCGACCAAACAGCCGCACGCAGTCGCTCACGCTCACACCTGTCACAGCAACCAGTGAGCTTTGTGATGCTCAGTGAGCACAACAACAAGATACTGCTTTGTGGTGCTCAGTGAGCACGGCAACGATATATTGCTCTATGCTGCTCAGTGAGCACGGCAACCAGTCAGCTTTGTGATGCTCAGTGAGCACGACAACAAGATATTGCTCTATGCTGCTCAATGAGCATGGCAACGAGGTATTGCTCTATGCTGCTCAGTGAGCACAGTAACGAGATATTGCCGTGTGCTGCTCAGTGAGCAGGGAGTATTTGAGTGGCAGTGTGTTAGTGAGCTGTGAGAATGTGTTACTTGGTGAACATTAAGAGCGTGTTACAGACTGGTCCAAGTGCCACTGTCTTACGACACCCATAAAAAATGTGGCGCTCCAGCGCGGCTAGGTGTTATACCCAAAAAATATACCAAGGATACAAAGGCAGGTTATGACGTAGATCAGTGTGCCATGTGGCCAGCAGCTTGAGCAGTATATAAATACATACCTAAACGGGAGGGTAAGCGCCAAATGTTACTCGCGTCACAACTGCAGTTAAATTCAATCACTTCAACTGGCAAATAACAGTCAATTCATGTTGACCCTTGCCTGATTGAATAGGAAATACCGTACTGTGCCAACATTCGGGAATGATTATAAAATTGTAAATTATGCATTCGGACAATGGTTAAACTTTTTTTCTGTCAGGGTGATTCTGTCAGGGTGAAAAATTTACATGTCTAAGCTGTATTGTGCATGCCAATTTCAATGAACACATAACAATTCAGAAGCATAAGAGCTAAGCAGACCAACAGTATGTAAAGAAATAACAACAACAAGCTGTAAAACAAATTAATTAATTTTACATTAATTAATTAATGTATTAGCATTCATTTCCTAAGTCACCGTTACTGGGAGACACAATATTCTCTGCCAATTGTTCCAACAACAGCAAGAAAAATAGTAGGAAGCAAGAAAGTCTCATCATATTCTACATTAATGAATTGAATCAAATCTTAGCAAATGGGCATTAAATAAAAGAGAATTAATGAGCATAGCAATGTTACATTCATAACGTTTTGTTCCAAATCTTGAAAAACGCACATCATTTTACAAATTGGTGTAATGACAAGCACCAAACTTGAATATGAAGGTAAAGAATTCAACGAACTTGCATATGACCAAGGAAATAAATATGATGCAGTACGCAGAATAAATGAAACATTGTATTGCATTCATCCATGCAACAAATAGCAGCTCTACAAAGCCCATGATAACCAAGTAAAAATTTTAATATATGGAAATAAATCTGTAAATTAAACTTGGAGTGAATCTGTACAACATATAAAGTCAATATAAATCCTCAATTACGGTAGAGAAAATATAAAAAACTTTGATCCTTTTCTTCTAAATATATTTGTCAATAATAGTCAATTTGCATAGGCCCTCTAGACTCCCTGGAAAGCAGAATACCAGATGCAACATCGATGGTCAGGGCATAATGAACATCTTATTTGAAGGGAATATTGAAATACATAAACCTGGTATTATTTCTACACCAAACAGGAACAATTAACATAAATTTTAGAACAAGCAGCGCAATTACATAATAAATTGCCTTCAAGAATGTAATGGAGAGCCACTCAAACACAGTGTTTTGTGAACAGCAACTCTTACTCTAAATCCTGTAACTGATAATATTTCCATTTTCACCTCATTCTTGTTAGACAACTTCAAAATTTTAAATTTTTTACAATACGTAGACACTGAAGATAATTTTGAACTAACATATTTACTTCTCCCATCTACTTTGTTTTCATCACTTAATAGATGCTGAGGCTTGGTTTCATTGGAGTTAAAGATGGAGATCTACTCAGAGTCGAATTCATGGTTAAACTGCAGAAATGAATGAAGCTGGATTGAAGCATTCTGTCAGATACAGCAAAAGGACTACGGTATATATGTAACTAACGTATATACCTACTACAATACTAGCAATTCAGATCATCGTTTATTTATAAAAGCAATGAAATTATGGCTGGGAATATCAAAATCTCAATTAATGCGGTTACTCAAACCAAACAGAAGGGAAAGCTACTTCGAAAATACTACTAAGTGATATTTTCATAAGATTTAAACTTGTATAATAGCTTAGATAACAACAACGAGATCAAATTATAAACTAAAGCAGAAGCATTTACCAGGCAAGCATTAATCTTACCATATTTTTCTTCAAGATCCACTGAGGAAGAAAGGAGACAGCAAACACAACATTACACAAGCCCCAAGTGTAACATGGCCCTTTTATAGCCTCAATCAATGGAAAAACATTCAAGCCTTGTGAGTAAGTTAAGATCTGAAAATTATAACTAGGCTGTTAATAAAAAAAATGCACCAAAGCAGTTTTTAGATAGTGGAAATACCGTATCATAGGCTTACAGAAGGGGAATCTAACAGCAACAGACAATTGTCTAACACGCTAAACCTTGACACAGTAACACCACTGACGAAGATAGCAAACTTCATTAATGAAAGCTAAAAATAAAGACTTTCATTTTCACAATGTTACAAAGTAAAACATTCTGATAATTCACATGAAACAAGTAAATAGCGCACTACACATGATTCTAGTTTATCAAACATGAAAGCAATCACATTTACAGTAGTAAACACATTACAGTTGAGTTTAGAAAAATGGTTATGACTTATGAGAGAATTTACACAACTTTTGACTAACATGACCATACAAATATATAGTTAATATGATGAATGTGAAACAAATAAGCCTGCCTCCATAAACTGGACTATCATTATGCTCACCATGATGAAGTTTATCCCGCCAGTTGGCTGTGTTGAGGTCATGATAGAGGCCCGCCAAATCTCGCACATCTGCAAAGTCTGCTCCTTTGAAATACACTCGAGTGGTCACCTGTAAACGTTCCTGTAGGGCCCAAAACAAACTCAAGTTATCTCTTTAAAAGTTTTGATATACCATCAACCAGGGTACTAAGGGACAGTTGTCCCACATTTTGTAGAAATGTTGTAGCAGCAAAACTAATCACAATATTGCAAAACTAACAGTAGTGGCGTAAATTTAAACATTTTTACTATATATGTAGCATAAAGCAAGTTAAGAAATCATACATTTACTACCCCTAAAAAATCCCTAAAAAATGTGAAATGTGAGGTTTGAGAAAAGTACCTCTGCTAAGGTCTGTAGCAAAAAAATATTTGCCTCGTTAAAAAATTTTACTTACTATGGTATATGCAGCTCACTAAGAATTTCAAAAAGCTATATTTGGTACAAAATTGGAAATAATTGTTCATGTTTTATGCTGCTAGGAAATATTTTAAGGAGTAGAAACACCCACCTGGATGTAGCCATAGATGGGCAGTGTACAAAGAACACACACTGACTTCTGAACAGAATTTCGAGTAATGTCTGCAGTTTTGTTGGTAACTTTCTGGAAAATGAATTGCAAATGTTACTAGTCATATTAAGTAAGAAAAATATTACCAACATTAAGTTCTATAAAGACCTAACACTCACAGAATGTATTCATATAGGCCAAAATTATATGAAACAAAGTGAAAAACTAAAAATTTCCTTCAAATAATAGCTGTTGAAACAATTGAAATAGTCTGCAACTATACAGTACATTTGGAAGAATAACATACAAGAAAAAAAAGCAAAAAAAAATTCATGATCCAGTATGATTCTGCCTGTAAAGCTATAATTTTACCACCAGCAATCAAAATTTCATGTAAATATTCATTCAATCCTTCATACTACCATACAATTTTTTTCAGCTTCAGCAATTTCCCATTCATATTAAATTACAGGGCAATTATTCTAAGTTATATTTTAAACAACAGATAGTTAACCATTAATCTACTGGCTCCAGAAACACTAAATACCAGACATTTAGAAATAAATTGCAAAATTGCAGCAGTTTCTAGATGCACAATTTGTTAATGTGATCAAATTTGATAATCATGGTGATAGAGGCACTTTAATTTTATCATCACATGAAATCCTTATATCAATGCTTAATTTATTTAGAATGTATACCAACTTAACTCCATTTTCAACACCCAAACCTCTAACAAAGCAAACCTCAAGCACAGCTTGTAGTACAAGCAAGGACTACTACACATGTAGTAGTCCTTGAGTACAAGATACACTAAACACACCTCAGCATCAATTTGCCTGTAGCACGAAACTCCAAAAACTGTTCGGTTGGGATCTGTGAGGTGCGGCAAGTGGAAGAAAACTGTGTCAGCCTCATGGTTGTGAGCGCCATCAGGTAAGCAGAGAGATGGTAGATGCCTCCACTGCACCGGCAGATCACCACTAGAGCTGTCGTTGTTGCACAGAGGAGGATAGCAATACTCAACCTGTGAAAACACAATGTTAATGAACAATTAACATGTTAGATTTTAGCACAGAGTAAATAGAACCTGGCTGGTAAACAGACTAAACAGAAATTACAACACAAATGATATCACTGTGCATGATTGAATGTTAGTTATATTATTATGTAAATCTTACCTAGAATTCTAGATTGTACTACATTGTAGAATATGGGTAGTTGAATTTGTCTAATATTAGCCATATGTTATGATCATAATGTTGGCTAATATTAGTCATATTCCCTAAAATTGCGGGTATACATCATCTACACATGAAAAGGAGGACTTCGAATACGGTTTCATTTGTAATTGATGAGTATATTCTGCTGCTCCAACATTTTAAAATTAAGTTCTATTTCAAGTTTCATTGTCATTTTTAGTGCATTTTCTCATTTATAAAAAAAATGCACTATTGTGCTCTTCATGTCCGTCTGTCTGTCTATCTGTCCGTCCGTCCGTGACCTCAAGTCTTTGTCGAAGAGAAAATGCGCTCTCTGTCACTCACTGCAGTGAGTACAGAGTTACATTTTTTATGTCATTGATATCATTTTGGAACCAACATTTAAGTAACTAAGGAATTTCCCAGTTCAAACCTCAACTGATTTATATATATCAATTTAAAAACTCCACATATTTCTAGAGGGAGTTGCAATGCAATGAGACCATGGGCATGGGGTTGGACTATTGGGCTTAGACCATTGTAACTTGCAACAAGGGGGCCATGGGCCAAGCTGCCAAGGGCAAGGGGCCTTGCATTTGCAATGTGTTTAGACTGCCGCACGGCACATGGCGGCAAACTACCATAAGGACTTCTCATCCTACATCCTAGAATTCCACTATGCAGTCTACCTATGCTATACTATAGGACTTGGTAATAAACCTGAGGAAGAGCAAAAAAATTTTCTCCTTTCCCACTAGGTAGTATATGAGTATGGTGGCACCTAGTATGGAATATATCTACTTGGCGAGCCGCGACTGAATTTTTCGAGCNAGTAGTGTTCAATATTCGTTAGTGTTCTAATTCAAAGCCGTGTTGTATCCCAATACAGCTCACACAGCAAACGGAATTCGAACACGTGGATGTCGGCAATACGTATCAGTTAAATTTGAAGCGCTGACGCAATACGACTCACCACGTGTCGGCACTGTCGGATGTTGCCACACAAAGTGATGGAATATAGGGATTTGGTAGGTTTCCATTCTAAAGGCTTTTTAATAAATATGGCAACATTTTGTGACATTTCATCGTTGCTGACACGTAGTGAAGTGTTTTGAGAGTCATGTGAAGGCAACAGAACTTACGTAACGCATACGTTTTTTTTTTATAGTTTTTCATTTCTCGATGTTTCCTTAATGTGTCGGAATATACCGCGTTTACCCTATATGATATTAGAGCCGCGATATTTCAGACAAAAATAGGACTTTTCCAGACTAGGGTAGCACTATGCAGGTTAGCAGCCTAGCAGGTAGAGCCTAATTTTCCATAATAATAATGGGAGTAGGCTATGTCCCTTGCCCTAGCTAATTTTGTAAAATCAAGAAAAAAACAGCACATTTTCTCAAAATATGATTTTAGCTAGGCTAATTCAAACTTTTCCATGTAAAAATCATTAACACCCACAATTTTGTTTTTAATTCTGCCTACCTTTATTCCAAATTAGACAATGTAGGTAAACCCAAAATATTATCAATTACAGATAAGATAAGACAAATGTTGATTTTTTGTGCATTTCTTGTTTTCTATAGCTACATAAAAATTATACTAAATTAACCAAAATTCGAGCAAATACGTACTTGCATTCCACGTTTATGATGGAAACCAACAACAATAACATGAAGAGCAATAGGGTCCTTTTCGTTTTCTTCCATGGTTATGCGAAGTTTTCCACTTAATCGACTTGAAGAAAGGTACTAGGATGCGAATAGTAATGGATATCAATCACACAAGCATTTCGACACACCGTGTTTAATAAACTTTGACATTCAACAGAGTGAATAGACTGTTTACTTGGCACATATGTGTTCACCCCCACCCCTAGCTTTTGGTACATCCAAAATCACTTGTAACGGGCAAGTGAACTTCAAGTGTGCTCATGAACAAAGATTGTCAATTGATGAATTTGGTTATTTGAATGTTAACAAATAGTTTTGAATTAATTTTTATCAGCAACCGTATTGTGACTTCAACCATTTTTTGTCATCTTAACTTCATGTGCTTCAGTTCAATAAATTGTCTAGCGTCGAGGAGCTGAAACATTTATAAATTAATATATTATTTTTCTCCAACATTAAATCAAGTAGTCTATACACATCAACATAAAATTTCGATAGAACAAAATATGCTGCTTATAATATTCTGACGATGATAATGATGATGACTGCTTGCAGACGAGTAAATGCCTCACTCAGCTTACATGTCACGCATTGGTGTGAGGTGTCCTCTGTTCACACTTGTGAGGTATTCATGTTTCATGGGATTTGGGTGTCGTTCACTTGGGTTGGTATATATCTTCACCGATACGTCAGTCGAACAACGATAGAGTGGTAACTGGTAAGTTATTAAGGTCATGAACTCATGATCACCCAGTACTACTGTTTTTCAAGGTAACTCTCACAGGGCAGTGTGCGTACTGTAAAAGTCCCTATTGTAATTTCAGTGATTTGCAGAATCTCCCTAATCAGATGGCGCCAAACAATGTAGCGAACGTATTGTAGAAAAAAGGGCGATTGTTACCCCAGCACTACCACATGCGATGCTGTGCTAGTACAAAAGAAGCTGAACGAGACCTGGCATAATTCTAATAGAATAGAATAGAAGTGTCGGCATTGAAGAAATAGGCCCATGGCCTGTTGCCGATTCTTGAAATTTTCGTGACTTGATTCACAAGGGATCCTGCCTTTGGAACCCGATCTTTCCATAGCTGACGATTGATTGAGATAGCTGCAGGACTTATTGCCTGGTCTGTGCATGTAACTGATGTAAGTTTATGCGAGACACCAGGAGTTGTCAGCCATTTCCGATCTCGGCTCCAGTTCGAACCCAATCCTTGTTCAAGGGATGAATAACTAACGGTGAAACGCTTTTATGATTTCACAAATGTTCTTATGTATAAAACAAGTTCGGCGGTTCCAAAAGTATAAAAGTTAAGAAAACACAACATAATTTTTCAGTATATTTACACGACCAAAAAAAAGCTTCTGCGGAGAAACTATTTAGCCCTTGAGGAGATCCTGAAAGTAAGAGACGTTGAAGGCAGCCCAGTTCTATACAAAACAAACCCTTCGCACCAGTTGGGATCCAATCCAACATAAATAAAATCAAACAACTTCCCTTAGCTAAATAAACATCGAGACATACCACCCTCCAATTCTTCCCACTTCCGGAGATTCGAAGATAGCGCGAATAGAAATAACGAAACGATAGTATATCATAAAACGCAAATGCTTGTTAAGATCATTTTTGAAAAGCATTATGATTATTGATAAGTAATTTGACTAAACGATTAATGACGGAAATATATGCTAAGAATTCGAGTAAGCATCAGAACAGTCATCAAAAAAATCTTTCGTCGCACAGGGCTTTGAAAGGAATCTTCAAGATACAAGTGACCAAATGCCAATAATATTTCTTCGACAAAAGCATTATTAGAACAGTAAAATCATGCTGAAGGCAAACAGAATAAAGTTATACATTTATGACGGAACTCCTTGAGAGACAACGAGATCAAACAGCGACAAAATTTCCCAGATCATTTAGCAGGCCGAAAGCAGAAATCCTGGCAATCACTGAACAGTGACATCAAAACGGGGTGACCAACAAATTGCGGGCGTTCGATTTTCTTTTGCCTAAAGTCTCAAGTTCACGAATTATGCTTATTGGTTGAAGATTTTCAGGTATGTTAAGTCAGTGAGTAATTTCCCAATAATTATTCATATACATTATATACACACTTACACATGACATAACAATACGCATCACAGTGAGTCGAGAGCGGCTCTGGCTCGATGCGAGCCGCGACAGCGCTCTTCATGTCTCTGTGTTCAGTCTTGATAGGAGAATAAATAGTGCAAGGAATTAACTTCAATGTTAACGTCGTGATGGCCAGATTTTTTACTTTTTTAAACAAGAATTATTTCAGTGCGGGATGGACTGAAAGCCGCTCGATTTCTGCAAAGAGACTACACGAATCTTGAACTAACGAATCTTAGACGCAGAGGTCAGCCTTCAACGCTTGATTTCACGATGAAACGTCAACTGGTAGATAATCAGATAACAGATCAGCCTCGAAATCACTTCGCAAATACGATCTGTAACGTGACGAAATAATGAATTACCCTGTAGAGAACATCTCCAAGTTACGTCAAGTTCAAGCAAAGCATGTCAGCACCCAAGTGTGGAATGCTTTGTTCAAGTGAGGTCTGATTCAGCAGCTTCGATCATTCGCTGTTAGTAGGTGGCAACTGAATGGATAAGGCTTTAATAATTTATGTCTTGCAGGTAAATGTTTCTGTTAAGTAAACACTTCTTTTAGAAATAAAATCAATCAAAAGAAATGAAACAGTGTGTCAAAATGTATAAGGCATTCCAAGAACTTGACGGCGAAAGCGTTAAAATTAAAAAAATATAATTTTGTCGTAGAAGAACAATCCGCTATAGATCAATGGAAAAAACGATGTGGTAGAAAATCCGTCCATAGGGAAGTCAAGGGTCACAGAGACTACATTACACTAAATTTCAAGAAATATTTAAATAGAGGTAAATATCTCCAAAGAGATCTCCAATACGACCGAAAACATCGGCTACAACACATTTTCTAAAAAAATATACCGAGGTCAAATTCATCAAACCAAACGCTACCGCATCAGCGCAAGACAAAAAAACCTGAGGAAGTGGGCCTTTACATTGGCCCTTACTGGTAAGTTTAAATCATCCTTAATACTAATACCTATTTTAAATGCTAGCCTAGAGAAAAATTAACATCACAGATAACATCTATCACGATGGCAGCAGTGGCAGCGTAACACACATGACCAATCCATTCGGACACAAGAGGGCCGCGAACACGTCCAAATGTTGCAGCGTCAGTAGCCCGGGGGCATGACAGTTGCACCCTGGGTCTATGTGGGTAGTAAACCTGGATCACGTATGTAGTAACCTAGGCTCACATCGGCAGTAACGCTGGATACCATCCACGGTAACCCTAGGTCACATATATAGAAACCTTGAGCCACATCCTTAGTAACCAAGAGTCACATTTAATAGTGACGCGGTGGGGTAACGGATAAGAGCGATTACACTTCAATCGAAATTGACGTTTCGGTCAAATGAGCCTTAACAAGAGTAACCAGGACGTCAAAAAACATATCGAGGGAATAAACTTTCACCGAAAGTAAGCACAGTCAGCGGTATGAAAACCGATTAAAACCGACGCTACCGATGTAAAATTGCAGATTGCGCTGAAACTTTTGTGAAATAAACCAAGTCACAAATCATACGGCAGAGTAATCACAAAGACACAAGACCCTTGCCACGCCAAATATACATGAGTATTAATTCTGCTTCAACCTAAGAAAAAAGACCAATCCATGACTAGGAGTTCGTACAATTTCAGCATCAAAGCTATTGCACTCCACACGAGGTACAGAAAGTAATGGTCAATAGCTAACAACGGACCAACGGCAGTTCCCAGGTACGGAAAATGCCGCATGTAAGAAGAAAAATTGTTTCAAGAGGCAAAACTTAAAAGAATTGCGAGTCTCTGAAGAGTGAAAATTCAGATGAAGCGAATCTTGAGAAGAATTGAAGCATTCATAGACGACTGTGCGCACGTTGTCCTGACGATGGCAAAAGCTGGTCTGAGGGGCTATAGATTTCTGCAGCACAACACTCGACAAGTTGTCGGGTGAGCGGATGAACCAAAGAAGGTGTAGGTTGGGAAATAGAAGAAACTAAATAATCCAGTGTTTATGATAGGACTTAAACTAACAGTGAGGATAGGGAGCCAAAAGGAAAGGGAAGTGCCACGCGCGCTCAGCTGAGCAGACTTAAATATGTAGCAACAAGAGAGCGTCTCGCAGAGGAGCGCATCCAACACAACAACACATGAACAAACAACAATTTTATGTGCAATTAACACGCACGCACATCATGGCTTTCAGGAGTGACGACGTTCATAAAGATGTTGACACAGCAACATCTCAGGATGATGACATTGATGATGAAATGAGGGGGATGATCTTCGAAACCGTCACTAGATGACGATCACTGTACAGGCGAGACTGAATAATATTCATCATAATATCAATACATAATATTAACACTGCCGATAGCTTCAAGAGATGAATAAGACGGTGATATTGACGACGATACACAGCAACAAACACACAGCTAACCGAACGGTAAATTGAGCAAAACGGGCGGCGCGGCAGCCTTATGAGCGCCACGCTATATCGTACCTACAGAGCTACTTCAACCCTGACATCACATTGCACTTGCCTAAAGCCAAGTCCTACACGCGACTTAAGCTAAACAATAAGAATAATTGAGTCCCAATAATGATTATGGGCGAACGCTTCACTACACCGACGAAGCATTGCAAGCGTTTCTCATGCAGCGGGCAAGCGCGCATGCGCGTGGTAAGCTCATCACACGTACCATATTTCTACACGATCCAGCGAGACGGTCTTTTGTCAGAGATATAAATTATAACAATAGAAGCATCACTGTTGACCTTTCAATAAGTATAAAGTCTCTGCACTGCTGTTAACTTCGCTTCATTGAGATTAAAGGACTACTGAGTTCAAAGAGCTTCTACAATTTCCTGGACCATCGCACATTTAGCACATCATTTCAGGCGTGTGATAGCAAGTCTCTTCGTGTACAGGTTCGACGGTAGGTATAAGAAATGAGACTCGCAGTTAGATATAGAGAGCGCTCCATTGAGGTGCTTCCCAAGAAACACGTAATTCCTTGGACAAGGCCAATAGTAACACATTTCTCGACTAAGTAGGTCAACAGTTGGCTATTTAAATATATATTCCATGAAATTACGACAAATCCGATAAGTGACATGATGGTGTTATTTTCACAATTTAATTAGAAGAAACTTCTTTACCCAGATATTTCAATATAATATCTTAATAATAGCTTTTCACGAAATGAATGCGTCGACAATTTTGTGGTAATTTAACTAAACAGAACCGTTCAAAAATTTAAGAGAAATATATTCAATGTTAGGTTAGTGGTGCAGTGGAAGTAGCTGATATTTCGTCACTTCCACCTACAGATGCGAGTCAAAAGAAATTATTTATACAGAAAATGTGCTCAGTCATCGTCGCTGACAGGTTCAACGTTAGGCTCGTAATTGGAAGCAGGGCGTTGAGCGGACGACACTGTGGTGGACCAAGACGACACCACGGCTGAGGTACTATGACTGCTGCTGCTGGTCGTGTGGTTCATCAGAGACACGGGCGGGTTACTACTGCTGCTTGTGGTGGTACTGTTGCTGTTATTATTGGTGGTCCCAGAATTGGTACCGTGGCTGCCAACGAGACCTGATGTTGGGGCAGCTGAGGAGTGTCTGTGACGGTAGTGCTGCTGCTGCTGCTGCTGCTGCTGCTGATGTTGTTGATACTGATAGGCAAGGCTGGCGGCATTTGCAACCGAGTTCGCAACTGAAGAAATTATGGACACTTGAGGATGTCGGTCACTGGCCCCGTCGTGACCGTCGTGCTGGTGATTACCACCGTCAACGTTGGGCTGACGAGGGGTCTCGTCGATAACCATTTCCCCAGACTGCGGGGAGTCCGCCACCTCTTCCCCATTGTTCCTAACGGGACGTGAACGGGAAGGCGGTCGCATGCTTTCCATACCAGAGTCTAGTCTCTTCTTTTTGTCCTCCATTCCGTCGTAATGTGGGTGCATGGTTTGGCCCAGATTACTTGAGCTTGTTGCAGGGTCAAGACGTTTTTTTTTATCCTCAATTGAATCATAATGAGGGTGCATAGGGTGCGTCGAGCTCGGCGTGCCTGCACGCGAGCTGTGCGAGGAGGAGTTGGTAGGATGCGCGTCCTCAACACTGTTGCATCTTCTCTCACTACCCTGCGCTTGTGGTTGAGGTCGATCTCGCTCCTTGTCAGAGTTGCGCATAACTTCAGCAATTTTCACCCTGACATACTCGAAGGGAAACATGTTCATTTGCTTCGAGTCTTTTGCGTCATCTTCTTGTGGCCCTGAAGGACTATGCTGAACTGCACTAGAAGGAGACGAAGTGCTCATTGTGTAGCCAGATGAAGGAGGCGTTCGGGACTTGATCTGCTGCTGAGAAGACACAGATACTTGCGGAGGAGGACCATGCAGTTGCTTTTGCAGCTGCAACTGTTGACTCTGGTGAGATATTTGAAGATGTTGCGAATGCGGTGGTGGTGGTGGCTGAATCTGCTGCGGAGGTGGAGCAGCCGCGGAACGCTGCATTTGCTGTTGTTGTGAACCTTGATTTGGTTGCTGATGCTGCATAACAGAGTTACCTTGAGACTGTTGGAACTGAGATTGGGCTTGTTGGAACTGATGCGGCTGGTGAGGTGACGAGGTGGGAGGCTGTTGGGGAGACTGCAGAGGAGAGGAAACTGAGCCTTGCTGCTGCAGATGCTGAGGGGGACGCCCACTGCGTTGTTGGTCACGAGACGACTGAGCGATGCGGATAATTTGACGCTCGTCCACAGACAGGTGCATGGACTGTGAGTTACTTTGAGACACCTGCTGCGGTTGTTGTTGTTGCTGTTGCTGCTGTTGATGTTGTTGTTGCTGCTGTTGATGTTGCTGCTGCTGTTGATGATGGTGTTGCTGCTGTTGCTGAAGCTGATGCATGCTTTGAGATGGATGATGCGAAGAGCCAGCAGTTGAATTGTGTAACGACGCCGAAGAAACTGACGGAGATATTGATGAGTGGTAGGACTGTGGTGGCACATTGTGGTGCGACACCGGCGGCTGTTGATGATAATGTGGTGATGGCTGCGATACTGCAGTCACGTGAGGAGAGGCCATGGCTCGATGAGGTGACCGAGAGTCTATCCGATCTTTGTCGCCCGGGTGTAGGGAAGCAGAGGAGTTCGCATGAGCTCCAGAGTTTTGTGCGTGGTGTGACGGTGCCGACTGGTGACACCGGCCTTTCCACTGGTCGAAAGTTTGTGGATGTACAACTTGAGGAGATCGACCTTCGCTTCTTGGGATGTCCATCGATGATCTGATGTAAGTTCCAGCTGACTGCTCAGGCCCCTTCTTGGAATCATGCACACGGAGCTCGCGATTAATAACAAAGTCAACGTGCGCTTGAATAGACTTTGGATGAACGTTAGAAGCCATTTGTTGTTGCGATGGCTGCTGGTGATGTTGATGGAGACCTACAGAAGAATCCTTGTGGTGAGGAGGAGGGTGCTGGCCCATATTACCCCGAGGCTCAGGCCCATCATCGACCGTAACGATTTCTTTCTCGCCGCTGCCGTGGTGGTGGAGCAAAGACGGCGATGACATCTGCTGACCAAGAAGCATCCGCTTATCTCCACTTGATGCTGTGACAACACGCGGGACTGATCCTGGGTTTACATTAGATATTGCACTCTCATCCAGAGGCTTATTGATCGTGCAGTGGATAACTCTATTGATAAGGCAGCTTGCTGTAACTATTCCTTCCTTCTTTTCATTGTGGCCCACCATCGACTGCTTCTGCTGCATTTCCATGTCCTCTTCTTTACTCTTGTACGGAGGCATGGCATTACTTGAAGCCCTTTCGTCCCTCATATCCATTTTATCGTTCATGTGAACGGGATAATGCTTAGGGTCTATCTTCTGTGCGTGTGAAGGGAGCGGTGGTTGCTGGTAGGGGACATTGCGCTTTGGATCGTGCAAATTCTGTGCGTTCAAAACGCTAACATTACTGCCTGGCGCATGAGCATGGGGTATACGCATGTCACGGCGAATTTCAACTCCAGCAGTATTACGGTTTTTAGCAGCGAGGTCAGGACGATTTTGAAGCACTTCGTGCTGATGGCGAGGAGAAAAACGCTCGTTTTCAATCAGGGCATTGCGTGGTGACGCACTTTTCGGAGGACCGAAATGACCAGGTTTATTCTGCGGAGGCATAGGCTGCCGACTGATAACAGATCGTATACGATTTTGAGGGTTGCAGTTAGACATGTTCATCATTTCATGTGGAGAAGCATGGTTTGTTTCAGACGTAGGAGGGGTCGGAGGAGCGTCTCTCACAGACGGTGATGGGGAAGGTCGACTGCCATCGGCCGAAGTAAAGTAATAGCCTTGAGAATGAGGTGGACCATGGTAACCAACGGAGTACTGGAGATTAGATCGAGACTCCGCAGATGATCGCGGTAAGTTTCCATGCGTATCATTGGAATGGATCTCGACTACTTGATGTTCAGATCGAGGATCCACAGAACGATGTTCCAAACTGGAAGGATCAATAGCTCTGCGATCAATCTGCCTGAGATCCGTACGATGATCCAAGTGTCTGAGATCAACAGAACGATGGTCTACAGAAGCTCGATGCTCTAACATACGCGAGTCCATGGATCGTGGATCAACGACTCGTTGGTTCCCTAAACCTTGATTTAAATTCCTTCGATCCATTTGTGATCCATTATTAAGGTTCCTATGTTCTCTAGGATCAGCTTGAGGGCTAGGGCCCCGTGGAGTGGATCGCGGAGAGCCTCTAACGTCTTTTTCAGTGGACACACCACGACGACCAACCATTTGCTGGGACGTGTTGTAGTCTGTTTCAACGATGATTTGTCGACTATCAAGTTGACTACCACCGTAAGAAGCGGCACGATTATAATATGAACTTGGATAGCTTGCGTTACTTGATGGGATAGGCTGTCTATGGCCCACACGATAAACTTCTCGCTCGTAATTAGCAGCTGGGTTAGGCCGGGGTATGATTTCAACTCCAGGTCTCGACTCGTAGGGAAGACCATCTTTCATTTGAGGGCCCGTGCGCTTGATCTCATGATGCACCGGTGTCCCCTGAGTGATCGAACCTTCACGAGCGGTAATAGGTTTTGAAGGCATTTCGTAGCGCGATGGCTGGCTAGTGGGATTGACCAGAATCTGGGCCTGATTTACAGGAGTACCATGCGTGATGGAACCGTGCATACCAACAGTTTTATCAGACTTCAATGGAATTCTAGACACGGTAGCAGGAGCATGTTGCTGTTGAGGTAAAGGCAGGGGTTGCTGATGGTGCACGATGCGATTTGAGTTGCTTGAGAGTGTCATCTGGCCCTGACTTATTCCAGGCTTGGCTGATTTTGCAATAGTTAGCTGTCGCGGAGGATTTTTATAGATGTGATGGGGTGGTGTAACACTAGACACAGAACTCATCATGGAAGACGGATGAGCGAGACCACGTGAGTCGGTGTTGTAAGGAGACGGGGGTTTACTCCTGCCGTCATTGACAAGGAACTGGTCGTAAATGGCAGGGGGCTTGTTGTAGCCCAGACTGCTGGAATGTGCTCTAGGAGGCTGATTGTGATCTTTACTCGTAATTATTATTTCAGCTCCGCCGTGAGGTAGAGTAACCGTAGCGTGACCGCTTTCACGCTGTACAATAGATACAGGATTGTTGTGAAGAGCGTGCATGTAGGACTGGCTGTGGGTGGAGCCAAGTGACGAAGCAGGAGCTGAAGGAACTGAAGGAGCAGGGGGACTTCTGTCTCTTTTCTTTACAGATAAATCAAGTCCTCCTTCAGGCTCTAAAGGTATATTACTAGGTCGCGAAACACCTGAATGCGGGTCAGATATAATAGAAGGTGGATTAGAGCTTGCCCATGCGGGAGCGGCCCAATTGCTATAATTTGCAGGATGACCGTGGCCGGGAGCATCGGGAAGTTTTTCGTGAGCCACACGACCGTAGTGGTGCGCCTGGGGCTGGCCATGAGATGGATGTGCTGGCGGGGCTCCTGATATCGCTTGTTGTTCATACAAAGTCCTCTCGATGGTCTTGTGGATGAAGTCTCGTACGCTCGTACCCGACATGATCTGCGGCTGAGAGCCATCAACGTGGTACATGATAGGGGACGTTCGCTGGGGCTTGTGGGGAAGGCTCTCTCCAGGGTGAGGGATGTGCTGTACCTCCGGGGAGTCACGGCCGTTGATACCCCGGCACTCCCCAGACACGACATCCTCTTTGGCAATATCCAAGTCATTGCGACCTGCACACGAAAGTCTTATAAACGCGTGCATTCATTTAATATCAGATTTATACGTTTTTCACCACAGGAAAAATAAAATTGCAAGAAATTCCCTAAGTAAATAGTATGGAAGCTAATTCGCACTCGTTAGTGAGCAAAAAATACAAGGCTTGGAAGCAAACAATGCAATTTTGCATTGCAATTTTTTGCATGGCTAAATAACCTCCCATTCAGAAAATTATATCACTTTCAACAATGGCATCAAATACAAAGTTTAAACCGAGACGAAAAGATCATTGCACAAAATTTGGTTGGCAAATAAAGTGAAATAAATACAAGGAAATATGAGCATCAGTAATGAAATCATGACTCGCAACGAACCAGCGATGGGTGACGAGGCAGAGGCAATTTGAATAATACAAGGAAATTTGAATAATAATAATAATTAATAATAATAAGGAAATTTGAAGACGAGTGAAGAGGCAGACGCAGTGTCTTTGGTTGGCCAATTAAGTGAAATAAATACAAGGAACTACGAGAATCAATACTGAAATCAATGACTAGCAACGAACCAGCGACAGGTGACGAGGCAGAGGCGGTGTCAGAGGTGCTGTCGCGATGTTGTGTGGTGCGAGGAGGAGGCAAGCTCGTGTCATCACAGCTGTCAGTGGAGGAGCCTGTGCTTCCGCTGCTGCTGTATCCTGCTCCCTTACCGCCGCATACTCCTGCAGATGTTGTGACACCGCCTTCCCCGCTCAATGTTTTGCCTGCGACATCCAATGATAAATTAACAAAAATTTATCATCATCAAATTTATCATTAAATTCATCGACGGATTAATTACCTTGATAAGCGCAGCCATCCTCAAAGAATTGTAAGAATTGTACTAAGATAATAGTTGCGGGCTGCGCAGAAAAATACGTTAACAATTTAAGCAAAATCAATCGAGTCATGACAATAAACAACTGAAAGTAAATCCAAACAGTGCTTGAATGAGAGTCAAAGCTTTGCAGAGCAATAAAAATGTTAACTTAGCTAGTAGGAAACTAATTTACACTAATCTGTAAAGTTAATCAGTTTTTACAGACAAGGCAAGGTTCGAAACAGATACGACTTGTATCAAGTCCATGACAGTGCTCTCCGGTCACAGCCAGACGTCTCTATTTCTTTACTTTGGACGGATTTGTTCAAAATCGCAAAAATTTCTTTTACCATAAGCATGTATGGATCACAGATTATCCGGGTATAATTTAGAACGAAGCCTGAAATGTTCTAGAGAAATGGGACTAGACAATTATTTACTAATGGTTACCTCTGCTGCGTCTGTACTGAGTCATGGCTTCGTCAAGCTTGTACTTGGTCTTGAGGTTCGTGTAGAAGCTCTTGCACTGGTCGCTCGTCTTGCCAGGTACGTGAGAGCTCACGCGACTCCAGTGACGCCCAAACTGAACAGAAAATAAAACTTTATTGTCAACGTGAAACTACAACGCAACATTTGCAACAATAAATGAAACTACAGCGTAACATGTTCAACGGGACGTGAAAACACAGTGCAATATTTTCAATGGAACGTGAAACTACAGCGTAACATATTCAACGGGACGTGAAACCACAACGCAACATATTCAACGGGACGTGAAACTACAGCGTAACATTTTCAACAGGACGTGAAACTACAACGCAACATATTCAACAGGACGTGAAACTACAGCATAACATTTTCAACGGGACGTGAAAACACAGCGTAACATATTCAACGGAACAGACTACAAGGCTCATGAAAGTCTTCAAGATAATAACTGAGATACCTAGGCCTAAAATGTTTAAGATAATAACAGTTCAATCCTTAGGCCTACCTATAATTTCTACTTGCATTTTAACCGAAAATTGAACGTTATTCACGCAAATACTAACATGAAAATTGGTCCCAATCCAAGTTGTAGAGTTGGTTTATCAGAGCATGTAAATATGGCAATTTCACACTATATGGCTCGGTTATTTCTGATAATTTGGCTACTGAATGAGTCATTGCAGCATCATGATCACTTTGCTGCAGTGACTAGCACTGTCAACCTATAAAGCACTGAGTAGTTAATACCTCATTTCTACACTAACGCCTCCATTTAATACTTTATTTCTACACTAACGCCTTCATTCAACACCTTTTCTACACTAACGCCCTCATTCACGACAAGCACCCACCTGAGTAATGGCGTTCCTGAGCGCGTGTATTTCGTGCTGCGCCCACAGCGACGTGTCGACGGGAGGGTCGGCGGCCGCTGCCGCCCCCGTGGGACCGAGCAGCTGCAGCAACTTCTGTAGGCAACCGCTGCAGCAGCGCGACGCGTCAGCCGGCAGCTCTGTGGGTACTTGCTGGTTAGCTTTACGCACACGACGATACTTTTGGATGGCGACTAGCCAAAAAATGCTTGGAAATTGGGAAAGAAATAACAAACTTGATGGAGAAAACACCATCCCAGCATATCAGTGGTGTCGATTCGAGCATAAATTGCGGATGAACTTCGAAATCTATTCTTACAGAAATACGCGAGCAGTGTCGTATCAAAAGCGAGTAAACATAAAATATAAATTAGCGCGGAAATTTTCATAATAAAAGTGTCAATATTTTTCGATGACGAAGCGATTGAGTTGATTAACATCAAAGTGATATAAACGAGCGATACAAATTCCTAAGGAACGTGTTGAACTTACAATTTAGAAATAAAGTAAATAAAAAGATGTAAGCTGCGAGCACACTATCTTACAAGCTCCCAACACTGTGTGAATCATTGAAATTTCAAATACTAGACGAGGCCATGTCGGGATGAAATTTGAATACCATCAACTTTTATTGGCTCAAGCTTACGTGATAAATTGCACACAAATCTCTCTTGCGTTTTCCGTAATTGTGTTGTCAACACGACTTATATTATCAGTCAGCTTATATCGCAACTTCACAAGGAATTTAAAAGCAGAGAAAACGCTTGGCGTTTTCTCCAGAAATTTGCTTGGCATTTTCAATGCTTTTAATTTCCTTGGTCGGCAAGAACTTACGCATGTCGCGGACGATGGGTTCAGTCACGTCGCGGGGCAGGAGATGCCATCGTGGAGGCAGCGCCCGTAGCTTGCGCACCTTCCACTTGGGTGTCGTGCATGTGGGCACCGGGCATCTGGGGAACGATAGTTCTTACAAGCTCTGCATAGTTGCCGGTAACTCGTTAGTATATTTCATTTAACATTATTAAAGTGAAGTTTGAACCATTCTTGAAGAATCAGTAATTGAAGTAACTACGAATAGAATGTTATCTAATCTCATCATCAATATAATTCTCATTTAAAGGCCCATAATATGTATGCTGTGCGTTCCAATCACCTAATAATAGTTAATATAATTGTAAATTATTATAATGGAATATCATGTCCGCTATAGAAAACGTTTTTTCACACGACTACAAAACTCACTGCTTCGTGTGTCTCTTCACCTAATTATTAATATAATTGTAAATTATTATAATTGAATATCATGTCCGCTATGAAAAACATTTTTTCACATGACTACAAAACTCACTGTGGCGTGTGTCTCTTTGCCTAATAGTAATTAATATACTTGTAAATTATAATCGAATTATAAATTATTATAATGAAATATCATGTCCGCAATAGAAAAATATTTTTTCACGTCACCACAAAACTCACTGTGGCGTGTGTCTGTGGTTGCGCGTCGCACTGAAAGCGCGAGGGCCACACCTCAGTGTGCAGGAGTGGCACACTCGGCGGTGGGGAGAGTGGGGTGAGGGTGGAGGAAGGTGGCCCACCCCATACTGGTGGTAGCGGGCTGGTAGCACTCGTCGTGACCCACTGTAGTTAGGTACTACCACGCTGCACACGCAGCACTTGTGGCTACCTGTTCGGGTGAGGTATTTATTTATTTATTTATTTATTCACACAGGAGCACACGTTACAATGAAATATAAAAGAGACGTGAAATAAAATAGCAAGGCTTTCAGGTGAATGCCCATATAAGCTAAAAAAGCTTCGCAGGCAACACAATAGGTACAAAACTCAATTCGAATGATAACAAGACGACGATGAGAACAAACAAGTAACAAATTTCTAAAATAATAAAAACCATTGACAAAAGCCTAAAAAACCATTAGGTTACATAGCACGCATGTCTCAGCAGGCGTAAGCAAATAAGATAACGGCTTCGCGATCATTCGATATTGGACAAAAAACATAACTAATCAGTAATTTATACAAACGTGCGAGCTTTATGACTTAGTCAACTAACTAGCCCGAGTATAGGGCAGAGGGATAACATGTTGCACAACGCGCGTCGGTTACTTGGGTTCGAGGGAAAGACTGATTTTGTAACCTAGGGACTTGTGAAGACAAATTGTTTTGGTTCACAAGTTTTTGACATAAGTTGAAGATGTCACAATTGTTAGCTTGTCTATTTAAAGCACATAGTTGTTATATTATCATATAAAGATATATACCCTCGAAAATTTACGTTAATATATTAAAAAAGGAGCGTCTATTTCTAAAACGATTTACTATACCAAATCAATTATACCATAAAAAAATAACGGAGAACCAATTATAGAATCCGTGCTGAAATAGTCTATATAGGGAATCATCTTCTTTAATGTAAATTGCGCTGAAGTGCATCAGATTGAGTTGAATACAGAGAAAATTGCAGCGAAGTCTGTGTATGCTCCTGCACAAACTGAACACCCTAGCACCGAAGCACAGCGGCGTTCGTTTGTAAAATTTGCGTGGGTCACGTACTCACGTTGACTACAGAGCCACGATTTTGCCAAAATTTGGCGCCGAATGTAGATTATGCTGATTTCAGGGGTTGCACTGCATAATTTAATTCGAGTATATATGCTATCTAGTTGCAGTATTTGTTGTCCTCACGCAAGTGGTGTGAGTGAAGACAGACGCAATAAAAATTCTCACATGTACGAAAATGGCTAGAAAAAATAACGTAATCCTAAATGCAGTTAAAGTTCAAATAGAATCGACACGGTTCTCGGATAAACACCCATACCGATATACATGCAGCAAGGTCTTTGGTCTTAACCTCTAAAACCGATACAGGTAAGAAAAAAGGGAATCTGCAGGTAAGAAAAAAGGGAATCTGAAAACAAAAATAAAGATAGTTGAACGGAAAGGAAGCAGGAAAAATGAAATATGGATGAGAAAGAAATAAAATCTGTGAACAGAAAGAGACGAAGGAAGATGTAAGTAAGATGGTAATAAAGGTAAGATGTCGTAAGAAAACTAGAGGAAAACCAGTAGTTGGGAAAGGAAGTAAGGTGAGGGGAGGGGGCGTATAAGGCCCTCATATCGCCAGCTCCCCGAGTCAACAGAGGGCTGGGAGAGGACGATGTTTGTCGAAGCATTTGCAGATGACTGCTGAGACCGCGAGCGGCAACACCGGCGGCGCGACTCGACAGCGTCAGCCAGCCAGGCTCGCCGCCCCTATACTTTCAAAATGCGCTAAGTGAACGTAAGTACTTGCGCTCTATTTTCTTGTCTATGAAAGTATAGGCCCAGGGCCTATACTTTCAAAAAAAGTTGAGAGATCGTATGTTCATCAGCCAATCATAGACGGCCTTTCAGGCAAAATCCACCAATCATAGACAAGAAAATAGAGCGTAAGTACTTATACGTTCACTTAGTGAATTTTGAAAGTCAGGCTCGCCGCCCCTAAAGCCGAGTGCAGACTCGATGGTAACTTCCACGCTACCATACATGCTAAGTACTGATACACGAATACTTCATACACGTCAAGCATTATGATCTACGAGACATGCTGGAGGTAATCCAAGTCACAACAATGATCTTGAGTACAGCGTTGGACAACAGCTCACTCGTGTGCTTTATCACATAGAGAAGTAGGTAGAGAATTTATTCTTTGATGCGGATACTTCACTCTAAGGTGACAACTTAACGCACACCGAAGTTGACTTAGTCAACTAACTAGCCCGAGTATAAGGCAGAGGGATAACATGTTGCACAACGCGCGTCGGTTACTTGAGATCGAGGCAAAGCCTGATTTTGGGAACTAGGGCCTTTTAAAGACGAATTGTTTTGGTTCGCACGTTTTCAACATAAGATGAAGATGTCACAATTATTAGCTGGTCTATTTAGAGCACATAATGGTTACGTTATCATATAAAATATATATACCTTCGGAAATTGACGTTAAACCGTTCCAAAAGGAGCATCTACTTCTGAAACGGTTGACTTCCAAATCAATTATACCGTAAAAAAAATAACGGAAAACCAATTATAGAAAGCGTCGGGACTCATTTTCTTTAATGTAAATTGCGCTAAAGTGAATCAAATTGTGTTAAATACAGAAAAAAATTGCAGGGAAGTCAGTGTATGCTCCTGCACAAACTGAATGAAGCAACAGCCTGGCACAGAAGCACAGCGACGTTCGTTTATAAAATTTGCGTGGGTCACGTTGACTACTGAGCCACAATTTTGTCAAAATTGGGCGCTGACTCCAGATTATGCCAATTTCAGGTGTTGCACTGCATAATATAATTTGGGTATTTAGGCTATCTAGCTGCAGTATTTGTTATAATCGCACATGTAGTGTGAGTGAAGACATGCGCGATAAAAATTCTCACACATCCGAAAATGCCTAGAAACAATAATGTAATCGTAAATGCAAGTTCGAGTAGAATCGACACGGATCTCTGATAAAACACTCATACCTATATATATGCAGCAAGAACGTCTTTGGTCTTAACCTCTAAAACAGATACAGGTAAGAAAAAAGAGAATCTAAAAACAAAAATAAAGATAGTTGAACGGAAAGGAAGCAGGAAAAATGAAATATGGATGAGAAAGAAATAAAATCTATGTAGAGAAAGAGACGAATGAAGATGTAAGATGGCAATGTAGGTAAGATGTCGTAAGAAAACTAGAGGATAACCAGTAGGTGGGAAAGGAAGTAAGGCGAGGGGAGGGAGCGTATAAGGCCCTCATATCGCCCGCTCCCCAAGTCAACAGAGGGCTGGGAGAGGACGATGTTTGTCGAAGCATTTGCAGATGACTGCTGAGACCGCGAGCGGCAACACCGGCGGCGCGACTCGACAGCGTCAGCCCGCCAGGCTCGCCGCCCCTATACAGCCGTCTGCCGACTCGATGGTAACTTCCACGCATACCATGCATCACGAGTACGTTGCTAAGTACTGATACACGAGTACTGCATACATGGACAGGTGAGCATTATGATCAATGAGATTTGCTGGAGATCACAACAATGATCTTGGGTACAGCGTTGGATAACAGCTCACTCGTATGCTGTATCACATGGAGAAGTAGAGGATTTATTCTTTGATGCGGATACTTCACTCTAAGGTGACAACTTAACGCACACCGAAGTCGGTAAAGTTTACAGGCTACTATTGGAAACCATGGCATGAGGCATTTGCTTGCATTTTGAGTGATACAATAAACACAACTGCGCTATTCGCACCACGTAATAAATTCGAATATGCGCATGATGATCAGCATCGCATAAGAACTTTGCTCTACTGTTCAAGAACCTACAATAACAGAGATGTCGTGAAAGCTTCACACCGGCGCGTATACGGGGTAGAGGTGACGTACACGAGCCACGGGTTACGGTGGGCAATGGCGGGCGAGAAGGGGAGAGACAGGGAGATAAGTTTGCCTTCTCATTGGTGAGATTAATTCGTTAAATATGCATACGATGCGTCGGTAGGAGGGCCCCTGCAGCGCCTCCCTCGGCACCTCCCCTCAGCTGTGTCAAGAAGTGACTTCATTCAAGAGTCCCAGCGTTACAGTGTCTAACGCTGGGTTGTAACTCGGCGTCACAGTCTTAGTGTTGAGATAACACGGGCTTATATTGTCTGTTTGTCGGTTGTAACACGGCGTTAAATTGTCTTACTGTGGTTTGTATTGCGGCGTTAAACAATATCTTAAAATATTTTATCATTAAGTCAAGCCCGCTTGTGGTGCTATATCCTAGCAAGATATTGAAATTCGCGAAAATTTCAAACCGACGGTCGAGAAGAAACTCGTTCTCATCATGAACTTTTTTCTAAGCCGAGACAGAAGCTCTTACCATGATGACATTGTTGAAAACTAATTTTTTTATATGAACGGAGTCACACAATACAATAAAAAGTTCAAGCGTCAATTTCTGTCGGGAGATTATAAATACTGTAAATGCGTACATGAATATAGGTGCCAGAGTACGCAATGCCGATCCAGTTTAGATACGAGGCAGAAACGTGAAGATGTAAACTTAAGGAAAAGAGGCACGAATGAATAACGAAATGAATTTGAATCGCCAGAGAGGTACCTCATAGAATTTCAGAAATTATGAGAATTCTATTAATTATTATCGATAAACAATAATTCATAAAATTTATTCTCATATTATTGGTAATTTTTGAAATAAAATATTTTTGCCAAAAACTTTACACAAGAAATTCGGTAATGTTAAAACCTCAAGCCCCAAGATCCATGAATACAGGGACACTTCTATAGGAAAATTGGAGAACTTCACTAATTGTGTCTGCCAAAGTCAATAAGAAGCGTCAACTCACTTAATCGAACCCAACTAACTTGAACAACCCCACAAAGCCAGAATCCTGTTAGCAGGCGGCAAAATGTTCTAATGAAATACGAAAGGTTTAATTGAAGGTCTGAATGGCTTTGTCATAACTATAACTTTATGATTTCGCTGTCTAGAAACGCGCCATGGAGATATCATTTTCAAAGCGATCACATTAATACCCAACAAGCCGTTTTCGGTGGTGCTTCAAGACAACATCTTTCAATTTACAGAAATATTTAGGGTAATTTTAATGATTCGAGAACTAAAATATCATTTAAAAAACTGATCCTGTTAATCTTCATTATGAAGTTGAAGCAGAGTTTGCATGATCCCACCCTTCGATGAGGAAGGGTGCCATGGACACGCGAGGGAGGGGAGTGAAGCAGAAGCAGAATAAGCTAATATTTGCAGTTCGTTAGCCTGCGGCCGCTCACTCTCATATTCACTAATTAAGAGGGAGATGATGAGTGAGGAGTGGCAGCTTAATCACTCGTACTAGCAGTTTCTTGAATACTATGCTAAATACGATGTTGCGGTGCTTGTTCCTCACATCGTATTCCTAATCGTTCTCTTGCACTTAGAGATGCATAGTGGAGATATCTAACATAGACTTTTCCCAGCATCTTTTCTTTTCGGCTGGAGATTTGAGTGGATGATATTAGTTTTTATGATTAACTCAATGCAACCGAGTCGATGGGATTCGTATGAAAATCTGGCTTTCTAAATTTTATAAGCTACGCGACTCTACTGACGCCTAATATTCTGAATTCATCGTCAGTTGATAGGAATTAGAAAAGTTGAAGGGATCTCGCCAAAATTTTCTATAACTCAATAATTGGAACGTAGGCGAAACCTTGCTATTCAACTGATAATTACAGAAAACCGGGCTAAAAAAAAGAACAGCAGTAGCTACTTTAAATGCGAATTGAACCTAATAAAATAGGCTCACAGGTGAGGCGCAAGACGCTTCCGAATGACATATAAAAAATATAACTCAGTATACTCACTGCAGTGAGTGACAGAGAGCGCATTTTCTCGTCGACGAAAACGTGAAGTCACGGACGGACAGACAGACGGACAGACGGACGGACATGGCGAGCACAATAGTGCATTTTATTCATAAATGAAGAAATGCGCTAAAAACGATTGCATTGCAGAATTTCATGGAAAACGAGAAGCTCAAGAGGAGCTTCTGATGCGCACTGATTCCGCGGCACAGATTCAGGCAGCTAATTGATTACAATGGGCAAAGGGGGGAGAGGGGCCTAGGGGGGCCGTGGACCACAAGGATGGGGGGAGGGAGTACAGCAGGAGGCAGCCGGAAAAAGAATGGCGAGGTAATTCGAGTGATGGAGTCAAGCATTTTAAATCAAACACAATTATACAAGAGAGCTTGCGAGTTGTAAGGAGCATTGCGCCTGCGGTCCCGGCCAGCGAACATGTCTAGAGCAAATACGCGCGTGAGTAACGAGACATGCAGTGAACAATGACTTACAGTAACTAAGTATATTCAGTTACACTTAGTTACGTTTATACATAATTAATCAGAAGCTATAAAAATGTTACCATTTAGAGTAAGTAATTAGTGCAAATACACGCGTGCGTAACGAGACGTGCAGTGAACAATGAATTACAGCTAGTGACTAAGTATTTTCAGTTACTTTTAGTTAGGTTTATGCATAATTAATCAGAAGCGATAAAAATGTTGCCATATCGAGTGAAAGCTCTTGATCGGTCTTTGAATTAATCGAATGGCAACGTCGGATATGTGCCAGAATTAAAACTTATAACGTTTATAGATACTCAACAAAACCATGGCGACTGAACGAGAACATAAATTAGAAAACAGCTAATAACTAAATAGATGTTATTAAAATCTGAGATTTCCCAAATGAATCTAGGTGTCGACTGTCGACATCATACATGGTCCCTAATTCCAGGTAGAATATCTCTTTATTGGATTTTTCATTTTATCTTAATTTTTTTCATTGACTTTAAGCACTTACGAACATGGGTGTACTACAACTAATCCCGGTTAGAACAATGTCATACAATAAAATAGTATCCCGAATGAAGCAGTACAATCACCAATACTTCAATAATTTTGGTAGACAAGAACCAATTACATTATGTCGAGATTGTTTCGGAAAC